GCCCATTCCTAGTTCACACTGCTGTGTTTCTCGTGTCTACGTTTTTCTTTTATTATTCTGGGTGTCATCCTGGTAGGGACCCAAGTCACTCTTCATGCTTTTGCCTCTCTTTTTTTTCTGTTACTTTCGTCACCACATATTCTTCTCTCCCTGAGGCAGTGGCTCTTTGTGTGGTTTCCATCGCGGTGGAACCTGCGACGCAATTTCTTTTTTGGAATGTTTTTCTTTCTCTCGCCTAGATGGCGGCGTCAAAAAAGAAAGAGGGGAAAGACGGCGCCTCGCCCTCAGGGCCCCCCTTCTACCCGCCCCTCTACCTGCAAAGGGCTCAAAAAATTCTCCAGGTACTACAGGAGCACGAATGTCGTTCCTTTATTGATGCTGGCTGCTCCTCTGGGGAGCTACTGCGCTTCCTCTTATTCTCACAGCTTCGCGAGAGATCATTCTCTCACGTTGTGGCCATTGACGTGGATGAGGTGTCACTGCTGAAGGCCGGTCGGACGGCGCCGCCACCGGTGGTTTTGTCTTCCGCCGCACTCCTGCGCCCAATGCACATTGATTTCGTTCAGGGTGACCTCACGCGGTCACCGCGCTTCTCGAAGAGAGACGACCACGTTTACAAAGAAGAAGAGGTGGGAGAAGACGGCTATATAAATGACACATCACTGCTTCTGACATCACCGCACTTTGACGCCGTCATTTCCATTGAGGTTTTAGAACACATAAACGCGCGCGAAGTACCAGCATATACTGACGTTATATTTGGTCACCTTGCGGCAGCGTCTGGCGCGCGTATTGTTGTGATTACAACACCCAATCGTGACCGCAACGTGTATGGTGCCTTTGAGAAGAAGAATGGTGACGTCTGTCTAGACGGGCTTCCTCATTCTCATATTTCTTCTGAAATTCCATACGCTGTTCGTCACGCGGATCACAAGTTTGAGATGACGGCTGCACAGTTTGGTCGCTATTGCGACTACGTAGTGGAGGCATACCGCCCCTTATGGGCTTCATACACACTGTTTGGTGTCGGGGATAACTTTACGCAAGGGGCTGTGTTCCACGCAAGTTCGTCCTTTGTTCGTCGTCCCGCTGTGAGAGTAGTGAAGCCGTCCAGCCTCACGTTTGAGGCGGTGAAAAGTGTCCTTTTGCGGAAGCAGGGTGGGGTAACACGTCCGTTGAGCGGGCATGCTCCCTCGCCGCCTAGTGCCGCCAAGAGTGGTCTTCGCTGGGTGCACGACAGTGCGAGTCGAGCCCGGCTCTTCCCTTGGGAGGATCTCTTTGGGGAGTTGTCGACTCAGCCAAGCGATGTGATGCTTTCACTCGAAAGGGCAGCATGCAACTACCGCTGTCTCGTCTCTGTGAAGGTGCCATATCGGTCTCTCTGGAAGAGGATACGTGATGTGGTTTGCGAGGCCTTCTCTTGTGCTATGCGTGAAATGGAGTATAACTCGAGACATGATAATTTTTTGAGATTTGGTGATGTTGCAACGGTACATGAGTACCTCTTAAGTGCTCCTTTTAACGCGAGTCTGTGTGCGCTGATGGTTTCCTTGCTTGATCGACTCCGGTTGTGTAGAGAGAGACTGAAAAGGGGGTGTTTTGAGCCACAAGCTACGAAAAACATTTCGCTGCGTATAGCTGAGGATGTGTCGTTTGTTCTACGTTGGCTTTTACATGAATGTTGGGGTTGTGATACAGTGACACAGTGTCTCAAAGATGATACGTACGGTTCTGCAGCGAAAAAGCTCTCTCAGACCGAAAAACGTTTGGTGCTGTTCCTGGTGTCCGTGGGAGTTGTGCCGGGCGCTGCGCTGCATCTCTCGGAGGTGCTGAAGCGCGTCCGATGGTCAAATGGGGGCACACGGCGGCGAGGAGCGACAACAATGCGGAGTAGACGTGGTGGTGGTCCCCCATCGCAGGTGGAGGGCATTGCCTCGTCGCCAGAGAGGCGCGCTCAGTTACGACACTTAGTCGACGCTCTCTCTGACTGCTGGGTCCCTCGGCGAAAATTTATGGGCACAAGCAAATCATAGCCTAAGTCAAGGGGTTGTGTGGAGAAGCTTTCGAGTACAGTCTGCTTTGACATACTGCTAGTGGTTGTTTCTGTCTTTTTTTTTGCCCTCTTTATTGTATTTTCTACGTGTGTTTGTGTGTGTGTGTGTGTGTTTTGTCACTGCACTTGTTGTTGTTTTGTGTACGCCTTTTTTTATTTTGTTTTTCTGTACTTAAATAGAGGGTCTTTAGTAGAAATGCAGGAGGGAGCCGTAGCGAAGCCGCATAGGAACGAGACAGAAGAGGAGCGGCGTGCCCGCAAGGAGAAGGAGCGTGCGGAACGAAAGGCAAAGGAGCAAAAAGAAGTAGAAAAACAGGCGGCTCAAGTTGCCTCCGGTGGTGACGGTGTGAAGAAGGAAAGCGAAGGGGGAGGAGCTGAGGCCGTGAAGAAGGAGAAGAAGCACAAGAGAGATGAGACAGAAGAGGAGCGACGTGCCCGCAAGGAGAAGGAGCGTGCGGAACGAAAGGCAAAGGAAAGGAAGGAAGCGGAGGCGGACAAAACCAAGCGGCAAATCAATGACGAAAGTAACAGTACCGATGGCAGAAAGCTGTTCGTTCGAGATGATGACGTGGTATACGACGAGGTGGCAATGCTACACCGGGAGAGCCAAAATGATGAAAGCGCAGCTGCGCAACAGAGCCGACAGAATGAGGAGCTGGCCGCTGCGATGAACGCGGAAAATGACGCGATTCGCCAAGCTGCCGATAAAGCAAAAGAGGCCGCACGCCGTGACGCCCGCCGCCGCGCCGAGGAGGAGCGGGAGCGAGAGGCACTCGAGCGGCGAGAGAAGCGCCGCAAGGAACGCGAGACAAGGGGTGGCCGGAAGTTTGAGCCAAAAGAAGCTGCAGGTGCGGTGGTGGGCATGAGTTCGCTTGGCGTGGCTGATCTTCAGCGCCAGGGGTACCGCACGCAGTTCGAGAAGGACCTGCAGCGTGCAACAGCGTTGCGGCGCCTGGTGGACATGGACGACGTGTCGGTCGCCCTAATCGACGTTCCCCCGCAGTCGCAGTACGACATGTACATCCGCAGCTTCGGTGACACGGGCCGCAAGCAGGTGGGAGTGCAGGTCCCGGCGGAGGAGGACCGTGTAGACGCTGAGGTGCAAGCGGAGCGTGTGCGCGTGCGGCACCGTGGCGCCGAGGTGCCGGGAGACCTGGGGCTTTATCCCGAGCAGTGCGCGGACCGCCCGCTGCACCTTGCCAACGGCGGTGGGCGTAATGGTGATGGTGGTAGTGGTGGTGTTGGCATGGCGGATGAAGCTGACACGGCTGCTGACAGCGTAGTGGGTGATGCATCCCGACCGCAAATGGTGGATAGTGCTCTGTTGGCCAATTTCCTTGTTCGTGTCTTTCCCGTTATGCGGACGATTCTTGACGAGAACGACGAAGAAGGGGCAGGCAGGGAGGCTGTAAAGTTAAAGAGTGAAACACAGTTCTCAACATCGTACACAACTTTTGGCTACGGCGCTACGCGTAATCGGCCTGTCGTGAAGGTTCTTTTCAGCCCCTGCACACCTACGTATGTAGCGGTGCTGCATGGACCAAGTGCGGAAGAGGGTTCATCAAAGGAGCTTGACTGCTACATGTCGGTGATTCTGCTGTGGAACATCTATGATCCTTCGATGCCCGAGAAAGTCCTCGTCAGTCCAAGTTCAATCAGTTCTATTTGCATGAGTCCAAGACGACCCTATTTGTTATACGCTGGGGCTGAGAATGGTTCACTTTACGCCTGGGATACGCGGGAGCCGGAGCGAAACCATTCCACGGCTGGTGTCTATGAAAATAACGCATTTCGGCTTCCTTCTTTTGCCACTTCATGGCTATCTGGAAATCATATATCGCCTATTGTTGCTGTTGCGGTGGCAGGGTACAATGCTGCTGTGGGTGTTCGCAAAGACGAAAGTGAACAATTAGTTTCCATTGATGCCACTGGAGAGACCCGTTTTTGGGTTGTCAATGAAAAGGATCAGTCTAGGGGCATGATCAGCGACACAGAGAATGGACTGCATATGTTCTCCACCATACGTTTATTTCCAGCAACCTCTAAAAACGACGATCGGACTAGCAGTGTGACTGTAAAACAAGAAGCTTTTGCTCTTGATTTTGTTCCTTCTGATCCCTCCCACTATGTTGTGGCCTGTGCGGAAGGGGTTCGGCACATTAGTCGTTTTGGCAGTGTGGCGGCACCGTCGGTGTACGGCCCTTACTCCCGCTTTTTTGGCACTCAAATTGCTGTGCCATCTTGCGTGCGTTACAGTACCGTTGACAGCCGTCTCCTTGTTGTGGGCTATGGCGATGGCAGCGTGCGTCTTTATTTGCACACCGAGGATGCCCCACAACTTTCCATCCCTTTGAGCACCCGGTGTATCACGGAGATTCGCTGCAGTGGGGTGGGCAAGTGGCTTTTTTGGGTTCTTGATGCTGGAGGTACGTTTTACCTGCTTGATCTGGCAAAAAAAGATAAGGAATTCCCAGTCTTTTCCCAGACGCTTTCTCAGCCTGACACCGGCCTTTGTACTTGTTTTGACGTTCCGCCGGAGGGGAAAGCCGACACACGCGTAGTGGCGCTTGGTTTTGAAGGCGGCATCATGCAGCTTCACACCCTCAGCGAGCTTACGAATCCACCGAGTTCGGACCGCAACGAACACTGGCTATAGGCGGGTGTTTTTATTGTCTTCTCGCGCGCGCGGGAGGGGGC